CCCGACCCCGCCTCCAATACCTCGCGGCGTCCCCAGCCGTGCTCAGAAGTCCCCAGTGTCCGCTGGAACTGCAGCCCGAGGGAACCCTGGACCCGCTGCGCCTCCCCTCTGCCGCCTCGCCCCTCGAGTCCTCTCCCAGGTCTTCCGTTAGTTGCAGCGAAAACAGGGCTTGTTTCCCAAGAGACGAATGCTGTCTCCAGGGCAAGCTTTTCGGGGCCACCCGAGAGCGCACGCACGGGGGCTCTGCCTCCTGGAAGGTTCTTACCAGTAGAGGAAGGCTGCGTGGGTGGAGCGGCCCCTCCCACCTTCCCGGTCCGCGACTTGAGGCCTCGTCACGTATCCTCGGCGATCGGGAAACAGGTCTGATCAATTTCTGTCTGCGTCTGCCAGGCCCGCGCGCCTGTAGATCATAGATCCGTGTCTGCACAAACGGAAGACAAGGAAAACGCATGCTGTGGGTCCTTGGATTTATGGGTTACTGGTGGCAGGGAGGGAGGGGTTGCAAAAACTGGCCTTCCCAGGAGCTGGCCCCCAAGCTCATTTCAAGGCTCTAGGCTGGCCGGCTCTTTGTACTTATGCCCTGCTGCCTGGATCCTCCGCTGGACCAAGGGAGCCTCGCTGCACAGATAAGCGTCTGGTCCACACATCACCCACAATGCTTTGCCACCCAGGACCGCCAGCCAATTCCTGGGGGGCGGGGCGGTGCTGCTGCTGTTCCTCTCTAGGTGCCAAGCCCCTAGCAGTGGTTCTCAACCTTCCTAATGCCGCGACCCTTTAAAACAGTTCCTTATGCTGTGGTGACCGCCAACCATAAAATTATTTTCGTTGCTACTTCATAACTAATTTTGCTACTGTTAGGAATCGTAATGTAAATATCTGATATGCGGGATGTATTTTCATTGTTACAACTTGAACATAATTAAAGCATAGTGATTAATCACAAAAGCAATAGGTAATTATACATGTGTTTTCCGATGGTCTTAGGTGGCCCCTGTGAAAGGGTCGTTCGACCCCCAAAGGGGTCGCGACCCACAGGCTGAGAACCGCTGCCCTAGAGGCAGATGTGGGAACAAGAGTTAATACCCTGTGATGCAGCTATCCTTATTGGGAAGTGTTTTTTGCAGCCAAAATCTTGGACTTTTAGCTTTGTTCTGAGGCAAGCCTGCACCAACCTGAGCTTGTTTTCTGCATCCTCAGGGCCTTCGGGTACGTGTCTTTAACTTTGCGCAAAAAAACACAGAAGCCTGGAGCAGCTTGGGGCCAGGAATTCTGGAGGGTTCCTTATTACTGTCCAGAGCAGAAAGAACACCAAACTAATGAAAGAGGGTTGGTAAAGAACATCCTGTATATCTAAAATCAAGCCTGTGGATTTTGGCATACCTCATTCATTGTGAGAGCCCAGATGGAATTTTTATTACCATCACATGTAAACTGACCAAAAAGGCATACATGCTTATTGTGAAAAGTAATACAGCGAAGTCCCAGGAAGACTATGAAGACCGATAACCCACCTCCTTCCAGGCAGGCGGCGTTATTAAAGAGGGCATTCACTTTCAATCAGGGCACAGGCCACTCAAAACAAGAGGCAGTAGCAGCCCTGTGTGGTCTGAGTCAACAGAATTTCACAAAGAGATAAGACGATATGATATTGTGTTAATATATTGATAATCTTTTAATGGGTTGATGTGATAGTGGGATTTGAAAGGGAGCTTCCCCAATAGAGTTAAGCTCCATGGGAGGTGAGACATTGCCACAATCCTGTCATTTTCTAGGCACTTCTGTAATTATTTGTGAATGAATGAATGATTGGATATGGGAGCTTTGGAGTGACACCTGAGCTTAGCCTCACAGATTTCCTCAGTATGTTATTTCCAAAGAGATGGTGTGTGTGTGAATCCATCTGCAGCAATTATAGCAGTGTGATCTCGTACCCAATATCCACTGTGAAAATAAAGTAGAAAAAATTAAACTGTAAATATAAGGCAATCTCTCCCACCAATATTTTGGGACTATACTAAGTTTTAAAAACAAGCTAGTGAGAACCAGCCCAACTCTGGATACAGGACCATGTGCAATAAATACTCAAGAACTGTGCTCGCTTTGGCAACATACATCCCCAAACGGACTGATGCAGAGAGGCTTAGCTTGGACCCTGGGCAAGGATCATATGCAAATTTTGAAATTTGTGAAGCGTTCCATATTTTTAGAAACAAACTTGTTGATACAGAGAATTGATGGTTGCCAGATGGGAAGGGAGTGGGGGGATGGGTGAAAGGGGGAAGAAATTAAGAAGTACAAGCTGCAAGTTATAAAATTAGTCCCTAACGTACAGCATAGGGAATATAGTCAACAATATCCTAATGACCATGTCTGGTGTCAGATGGGTACTGGACTTACTGGGCTGATCACTTGATAAGTTATATAAATGTCTAATCACTATGTCGTATGCCTGACACTAATACAATATGTATGTCAACTATAATTGAAAAATGAATTTAAAAAGTACTCATTGACTGATTTCTGTTGCTTATAGTTCCAGCAGTAAGGAGTCTTTTCAAAATATAAGAGGAATAAAGAAGCTACCTCCCCACCTTTCACCGTCCTCTAACAGATTGCACAAGAATATTTCAAGCACAACAGAGAAGGTGATGCCCGATGGAGGATCATACTTAGAAGTGTTCTGGTGTCTGCCTGTTTCTTGTGTGTGCATGGGATTCATCACCGCATGTCTGGTTTTCAGGCATCGCATCCAGCCCTAGATGATGGCCAGCCCTGTGATTTTTTCAAGAAAGGGAGTAGGGTGAGTGGATCTCATCAGAAGAGCAGGTAAACGGTTTTCCTATAGCTGCTGTATCTTGTAAAATTGCGCTATCTTGATCCTCCAGACGGACTGTGTGTGACTGGGGAAAGAAAATAATATGTCTGTGGATAAGAAACATGCACCTGTATTTTTATCTAGCAGAAGTGAGTGAGCAAGTGGCTTTAAACATGACTAGTTGCATGTCCACCACCCATTTTGTTTTTTGCCCCTTCTGACCTATGGTGCTGAGAAGTATTATTCTTAGTGAAATGCTATGTCCTTGGTAAGTAAATTGAAAAGAAAATATTGCCAATGCGGATATGGGGTCCTGCCTCAGAATGAATTACCCCAGGAAGAATTGGGTGCTCTTCTAGCCAAGCACACTGTGTTCAGAAGTTCCCTCTACCCACCACACACCAGACAGCACTAACCAGTTTTCCATTCTTATTGTGTCTTAAGACACCCTGCAACTCTGTCCTTTTAAATACAGAGTTCCTGTTTCCTATTCAAAATGCTAATGAGCTTTTGATTGAAGGTATAGGTTGTATATGCTACACTTCTTCATATTAAGACTAGGGGCCCAGTGCACGATCCGTGCACCTTGAAAGGAACTGTGGGCCGCGAGGCTGCGATAGGCATAGGGGTGGGTCTCGACCCATCCTTAGCGCCTTTGCCTGGCCCCTCCGCTGTGGACTCTGGTCACCTGTCTGCCAACAGCCCTGCTGCTGCTCTCATGCGCTGACGGCATCAGCCCCGCTGGCACCCGCGGAAGGTGTGAAGCGATTGGAGCCGACACCGTCAGCAGGTGTGAGCGGCAGCTGCTGTGTGAGCAGCAGCTGCTGGCCCCTATTGCCCCGCAGGAGCAGGGGGAGGTGGAGAAGCCCTGGGGCGATGGGGGCCAGGAGCCGCTGCTCACACCCGCTGACTATGCCAAACAGTCAGGGCTGGTGCTGGGCACTGGCAGCGGGTGCGAGCAGCAGCCACGGCACTGGCAGCAGGTGTGAGCGCGACCGGTGCTGGCAGCAGGTGCAAGTGCCAGGTGGGACCACAGCGCACAGGAGCAAAGAATTTTCAGTAACCACCAGAGGCTCACCCCAATGACAGTGACTGGTACCCTGCCTTGGTCTGGCGCCCCCCACTCACCTGCTCTACTGTCCTGCCATGGCCAACGCCCACCATGTTCCACACATGCCCCCTGGTGGTCAGCGCACATCATAGTGACCAGTTGTTTGTTCGGTTGTTCTGCCGTTGGGTCTATTTGCATATTAGCCTTTTATTATATACGACTAAAGGTCCAGTACACAAAATCTGCACTCGGGAGGGTCCCTCAGCCTGGCCTGCACCCCCTCACAATCTGGGACCCCTCAGGACAATGGTTCTCAACCTTCTGGCCCTTTAAATACAGTTCCTCATGTTGTGACCCAATCATAAAACTATTTTCGTTGCTACTTCATAACTGTAATGTTGCTACTGTTATGAATCGTAATGTAAATATCTGATATGCAGGATGGTCTTAGGTGACCCCTGTGAAAGGGTCGTTCGACTGCCAAAGGGGTTGCGACCCACAGGTTGAGAACCTCTGCCTCAGGTGATGTCCGAATGCCAGTCTAGGCCTGATGTGGGATTGGGCCTAAACTGGCAGTTAGACATCCTTCTCACAATCCAGGACCACTGGCTCCTAACTGCTGGCCTGCCTGCCTGCCTGATCACCCCTAACCACTTGCCTGCCTGCCTGATCACCCCTAACCGCCTCTGCCTCGGCCCCTGCTGCCACGGCTTTGTCCAGAAGGACATCT